TAGTTCACAGTGTTTATTAAACTCCTGTCTAGTTCACAGTGTTTACTAAACTCCTGTCTAGTTCACAGTGTTTACTAAACTCATGTCTAGTTCACAGTGTTTATTAAACTCCTGTCTAGTTCACAGTGTTTACTAAACTCCTGTCTAGTTCACAGTATTTACTAAATTCAAAAATGTCTTGTTTTTATTAATGACTAATGGTTACTTTTGTCCACAAATCATTGTGTTTATTTAAGATTTATTTACAGAAATAAAATAAATGTAAAATACTAAGACCTGGTTAACCATTGATTAATGATTCATATTTATGAATTAAATATATTCATACATAAATGTTTTACAAGGGTGTACAATGGCAATAAAAATCATTTAAACTAATCATAGCCATATCATAACATTTCTATTATTAAAGAAAAACTAAATGATTTTTTCAATATATAGCTGGGCATCGTTTTTTCAATATAAAGCTGGGTATCGTTTTTCAATATATAACTGGTCATCGTTTTTCAATATATAACTGGTCATCGTTTTTCAATATATGCCTGGGCATCAATTTTTCAATATATAGCGAGGCATTGTTTTTTTTCAATATAAAGCTGGGCATTGTTTTTTCAATATATAACTAGGCAACCTTTTTTCATTATATAGCTGGGCATCGTTTTTTTTTCGATATATAGCGAGGCATTGTTTTTTCAATATATAACGAGGCATTGTTTTTTCAATATATAACTAGGCATCGTTTTTTTCAATATATAGCTGGGCATCGTTTTTTCAATATAAAGCTAGTCATCGTTTTTTCAATATATAGATAGTCATCGTTTTTTCAATATATGCCTGGGCATCATTTTTTCAATATATAGCTGGGTTTTCAAGCAATAGTTGAAAATAAAATCATTTGTTAAAACTACATTTTTTTATAAATTTTTAGACACGAATGAATTTATGATATTCTAAAAATGTCGGGTCGACGCCTTATTATAACACTAACAAATCCCATTCCACCAGAAGCAGAACTTTCAAAGGTATTATCCATAATCTATTATTCTATACTAGGCTTTCAGGGTGCTTCGCGCCCATCTTCTATTTAAATTGTGAACATGTTCTTTTTGATTAAATTTTAAAACAAAAAAGAAAATTTTTTTGCCGATTTAAAAAAAAGTTGCGGATTTTCAAAAATTTGAATTTTTTTTACAAAATTAAAAACGTTTAAAACACATTTTTTAAAATTTTTATCATTCATAAACTTTCCCTGTGGTCACGTGATGTCCCACAAAAAATTTGGGCCCGATCGGTTCAGCCGTTTTGACGTTTATTGGATACAAACAAACAGACAAACAAACACCAAGACAGACAAGCCAAATTTATATATAGACTAGCCTTAGAGGGCGCTTCGTGCCCATCTTCTAAATTAATTGTGAACATGTTCTCTTTGTGTACATCGTAATTCTTAAAACAAAACAAAAATAATTCGCGGATTTTCACAAAAAATTTCGTGGATTTTCAAACTTTTCAAAAATTTAAAGAAGATCGAATTTGGATGGAGACAAATATTTGAAATTTTGATCATTCATAAACCTTCCCTGGGGCTCCGTGAGGTCCCACAAAAAATTTGGGCCTGATCGGTTCAGCCGTTTTGACGTTTATTGGATACAAACAAACAGACAGACAAACAGACAGACAAGCCAA